GCAAGAAATTTGTCAAGCAATTCCACTTACAACACTGTTTTCTGGGGAATAGTCTCTTCCAAAGGGGATTTTAAATGGCTGATTCCTTCCCATATGTTTTCAAAGGTCAGACTTTAATTAAAAACCTTTAAGTCACTCCCTCATTAGGACACAGTAGCAGAGTTACGCAGGAAGAGTCAGGTTCTTGATATAACAGCTTGTGAAACATTTCCTTGCTCTGTAACACCTCTCATATATCAGTACAATTCTTTAGAGTTTCATATGTGACATATCACAGTTATTAAAGAGAAACTATTTCTTTCTAATTCATTAACTGTTGCCTAGTCTGAGCCATCTTCACAGAGTGCGTGAGGATGCTCAACTCTTGCCCAGAGATAAGGGATATAATTTGTCATTATTCTGTGCTCTGAGACCACTGGTGGGATTCAAGAAGAAACCAGACAGGATAAGCACCCATTCTTGAAAAAAAACAGGAGAGAAATCATTTTGAAAAAGGACTCCAGTGAAATTCAGCTTGTAAGGGCAGAAAATAGAGCAGTAATAGGACGGAAGATGGGGAACTAAGTTACATGGGTAGAAAGAACAGAATAGGTTGTGCTAGTGAAGGATATGGTGGGAAAACTCCAGAAGCGGTTAGATGAGGAATTGGACATTTGTGAGCCTCAAGAGGAAGAAAGGAAGGAAGAGAGCTGGGTGGAGAGGACAGCAACTGAAACTGGAAGGAAAGAGATAGGAGGAACTTCTACAGCAGGATTCAATTGTGTAGATGTAGATGTCTGGTACCATTTTAGATGCTCATCTTTCAGTTGCCACTCCAGAAGGTTCTCTGTGCTATCTGCCAAACACAGGCATATTTCTTGGTTACTTTGAAGTGACTGAATATTCTCTGGATATTACTGTTTAAGCAGATGAGTTCTATCCCTTCTGTTGGAATACTGATTCTGAGACTAAATGTGTGGAAGAAAAAGCTTGTGGGAAGATTAGGTTTGGGGCACTGAACACAGCAGGAGAGACTAGAGCTGATGGGCAGGGAAGAGGTTTATGTTGTGTTATGGAGACTGAACAGGCAAGAAAACTTGTTTGAGAGGGATAGCCATTTGTGTTGAAGAGGAGGGCCCAGACACAGAGGGAGGTCGGAGACAACAGGAAAAAAAGCCACTTCCCACTGAAAGCCTCCCATCCAGACCCTAGGATGGATTCCAGGATTCAGAATTTCTCTCATTTATGTGCTTTTGTCTGTGAAACCCACTGACAAAACATTCTTCTTATTTAGTCTTAGCCTGAGGTTTTTGCTATTTTACTTTGACAGCTCATATGGCTGTGAAATCTATGAAATAGTTTGCAAGCAGTTGTGTAAAAAATTATATGGGAATAGCTCGCAAGGGATATCTTCATTTCCAACAGGTTTTATAACAGAAGTTAGTAAGATCAAAATAGTGGATATGTGGATTGTCTTTTAATAAATCAGTTTACAAGTTAATTATGCCTATGTAAAAATACAGAAGAATATTACTCCCTTGAATATGCTGAATCAATATTACTGCTTTGAGCCAAATAACTATTAAATAACTACATCAAACAGTTCCAGAAGTGTTAACAGTGGTCACAACTGGATCTACTTGGCTATTCATATCTGGGCTTGGCAAAAAGTCTTGCTGCTTCAGTTCTTCCAATGTAGTATTTGCCTGCACCTTCTGTTATCTGACAGAAAAATTTTCAGAATTTCTTTTTTTTTTAGGCTTATTCGCCATTAAAAAATACTTATATTCGTGGAAATGGAATGAAACAATGATGAACAAAAAGGTAGCCAATAGCCCGTTAAATTGAGAGCAAGGTCCAGGTCTTTGCCTCATTCAGACTGTTAATACTTGCGTGTGCTTTTTCTGGGTTCACAGAATCAATAGCCTTGCTATTTTTGACATTTCTTATAAGACAGAGTAGATTATTTTAATTTTCCACTAGAAGTTTGGTGAAAGTGACCCCCTTAAAGTCTTTTGTTTATATCAGTAAACTACTCTGTGTGTGTCTGTGTGTGTGTGTATATATCCAAGCAATTTAAACTTTTCAGGTGTTCTGCTAACCTGGGCCAGTACTGCCTTGAAATGTGGTTGGAGATTCTAGTTTTTCTCTTTACAAATGCTGATTTGAAGAAAGAAAGTGAGGATGGGGATGAAACACACCAGTCACTAAAGTAGGGTTGAGACAGATTGTCCTTTAGAAATAATATTTTCCTAAGCGTCAGAGTCTTTACATGTTGAAGGGTAAATTGTCCTTTAAAAACCTTCCTACAACAGAGAGCAACTGAGAACTGGAGTGAACAGGGTGTTACACACTGCATTATCTGTTGCAAGAGGCAACTGCTGACAGCATATCAAGGACAGGGGATTTTTAGGGAAGAACGTTTACAGGCTTGGAAAGAGTGATTTAAAGCAGGGAACATATATGGCCTCTAGAACAGGTGATACAGGCTAAATAAAGCTGCTTTCAGAATTAGTGTGTGTTTTTCAGGAGGTTTCTTTTGAGAATACGTTCAATTTTGTTTTCAGTAATATACTCAAAACTTTCTCCCACATAGAAAAATATTTCTGGAGCTTTTATATATTTTATATATATATAAAATATATAAAATACTTTGCATCCCGAACTATATAAAATAAAATCTATAATAATTTAAATATGTTTTAGATGGAATGATCTTTCAAGGTTTTCAGGTAACACAGGTATGTCAAGGAGATACAGTGCTACTGTAATGGTCAACAAGAAACAAGTTCTCATTTTTGGAAAAACAAGGATGACAGCTCTAGGATAAATGGAAGATCATGAGTCATTCACTAAAATTATTTATATATTTTGTTCTTAAACTTTAATAGCTAAGATGAAAGAGCAGATAGCAAAATGTAGGGTACTTCATAGTGATTAGTGTTTATGTCTTGCAGATGGCATATGTTAAAACATAATATTTGAGTTTTTGCAAAAATACACATAGCTTAATAAGAAGCTGAGAACTTCATGAGGAAATATGGGGGAAAAAATGTGAAAAGTTTAGGACTATGTTCTGGTTTGGCCTTAAAAATCTTAGTCTATTGGTTTGATAAGTGGGGAATGAATCTTGTTAAAACAATTAGGGTGCCAGAACAGTGATATTAAAATAGATATTAGAAGTGTGGATGGAAATGTGTTACTGAAGTCTACTATGTGTTAAAATAACAGACTTCTGTGATGGATGCAGCAATGTTGTGTAACCTTCTGGCTAAAAGTTCACTGTGGAAATCTAGCGTAACACAAACTAGATGGATTTAAAGATCTATATAAGATTTTTAAGGGAGACTCAAAGTCTCAGTAAGAACCGTTGGGGTTTTTCATATCTAGTGCTCTTGTTTATGGCTTTCAGTTGGCGAAGAGAGCATCAGGTGTTTGTAACAGTTGAAGATACTGCAGAAACTGTAGAATAGCGACCACTGGTAAAATTAAGCCGACTGTATAGAAGGAAACAGTGGAAGACTCCATAGAAACTTCTTTTTTTCAACTAATGACATTTATGAAAGTGATTTTAAGGCTTCCAAAATTTACTTTGGACATCTATGTTAATTACAAATGAAATAGCTTATAAAGCAGTCTCGTTTAAGAGAACAAGTAGTCACGGTGAGTAAAATCTGAAATGGAGTTTCCTATGCAGTGGAGGTAAGCATCCTCATCAGTTTTAGCCAGTCTTTACTTTTAAGATTTAAATAAAGTTAAAGCTTGCTGAGATGGAATTAGTTTCTATTAAGGTAGAAGTCACATCTTCTCAGGATGAAAAATCCAAGCAAATCCATCTAGGTTACTCAGTGCCTCATCCACTCAAATTTTGATCATCTCCAGGTCAGAGATTCCACAGCCTTGCCAACCTGTTCCAGTGTTTTATCATCTTAATGATAAAATTGGAAAAAAAAATATTTTTTTTCTTTTTAAATTGAGTTCCAACTTGTGTTCCTTGCTTCTCATCCTCTTACTGTGCACTTTCAAAAAGAGTTTGACTCCATCTTCTCTATAACCTTGACCTTAGGTAGTTGCAGAGTGGTATGTTCTTAACTTTATAGTAACTTTACCTCTTCTTTTTGTGTGTGTGTGTGGTTTTTTGTAAACACTTAGCCTGAAGATCTTCATTACTGTTTTGAAATAGGTTTCTGCGAGCGAAAGGTTCTTTCTTATTGCTGGGAGCTCTAAACTTCCATTTTGACAGCACAAGGTGATGCAGAATTATTGAAAGGATAATGAATCAGCAGTACAATGTACCAATTAGATTAATTAGATTTCAACATTTGATGGATAACCATACTATGTGGAGAGATGTGAAGCTATGACCTTACTCCTGAGAGGCAAGAATACAACCCATTGTGTCTCTCTGACATTTAAGGCTCTGTGTGTGTGTCTGTACAGCTAGATAGAGACCTACTTAGGTTGTCTCTCTGTATCATGTCCATTGCCTTCTTGAAGCAGAATTATTGCTGGACTAATTACAAAGCTCCTGTTAGTTCACCAAGCTCATTTTTCTCTATGAGCACTGGCTCATGTATTTGCTGAGTTCGGCTATGGTTTCATTTTTATTAAATCAGTAACGCTCTGAAGATGGAGCATTTGAGTTTAAAGACTATTCCTCTTTGTGGTTTCCATTTTGATACTTCTTTTATGTCACTAGTAATCAAAGAGGTCATGTTAAATACTTCAAATACTGAATAGGAATGAGCTTTTATGCTGATGCTAAGTGTTGAATTTGGTCCAGAAACTATTTTTGGAATTAAAAAAAAAAACCCTAAGTGAGAAAACTATGCTGTTGTTTATAATGGCTTTTGATACATATTTGTTTAACTTAGATTTGCAAATAATAATTGACCATGGTTCCTTCCAGTCTGTTCAAATACTGTGGTCCTTAAACTGAAATAAACATCCTATTTACATAATCATGCAAACATTTATTTGCTTCCTACAAATACTAATTACCTTTCTTGCTCTTTTTTCAGGGAATGTATATCAAATCAACATATGATGGACTACATGTAATCACAGGAACAACTGAAAATGTAAGCTTCTTTATTCTAAACTACTCTTACTGTGCATGTAAGTATTTTCTGTATATCTGCAGTGCAGTTTGTAATATGAAAATTTGCTTTAAATCAAGCCACTTTTTATTAATACTTTTTTTCTTTATCTTTTCTGTTCATGTGTCAATTATCTTTGTAAAAAGGACACTTGAAAGTAGGCATAGAAAAATATCTATGATGAACTTACTAATAACTAACAATATAACAAGATTAAGTGCTTGAACATCTGTCCTCAATTGTTCTTCCAATACACCTTTCTAAGAGTGTTCATGTATATGTTCTCTCTGTCATAAAAGTGTTTTCCTTTATACTAAGTACATTTTTCTCACATAATACCATCATCATTAGTCTAAAATAATTAATAATTTATTTATTTTTAGATTAAATTATCTGTAATTATATCTGTTGTATTTGATTTTTGCTCTCTACTTCAGATAAATCTCTCAGAACATAGGACAGTTCAGGTTCATATAAAAAAGAAGTATTTTTCTGTCACCAGAACAGCAGAAATTATAGGGGGAAAAAAATGCCTCAAGTGTTTATATTGACCAGAGTAGTCAGAAAATTGCAGTTACTGTTAAGCATAGTTGTTATCTGAGCAGTCCTTAATATGTGCAGTCAGCTTACCTTATGCAGTGACTAAATATTGTCATACAATGATGAATATTTTCTTGCTAAGAGTTCTTTGTTTTCTTCTTAGAATAGACAGTATTTTTTTGTGTGTGATTTTGATTTTGTTCTTATTACAAAATTAATTGAAACATAATGTTAGAAAAATTAGACTTTTGGAGGTGATGCCTGTTCTCGGATTGACTCATAGAAAATGAGTAGCTTCTGTATGTCTAAGCAATTCAAAAAAACAAGTTGTAAAAACAAATTGTAAAACAGTTACAATATGAGCAGTATAGGTGGATGTAAAAAACATGGGTAATGGAGAAAGATGATTTAAAATATTGTATTTTTTATCAGACAGGTTATAGAATGATCTTTGATAAACCAGAAGGTTTTCAAAGCTAGTAGTAATTACTGGCAGGACCATCACTAAGAAGGGAGAAATTGTGGAAAGGAGCAAACAAGTTTTGGTACATGCGCAGAAATGGATGGATGGTTTGACAGTGTTAAAAAAACTTAACAATCCAAATGACTGTTGTGTCAGGCTGTATAAAATGTTCTTTTATGAAAATAACTGTTCCTGAAAGAATTGTATTAGGAGTTCAGTACCATCGTATTTTCATATTTTCCATCACCTCTAGTAAAAACACAGAAGAAACCAAGAAAAATGTATTAATTATCATTTTCATTGTAGTCCCAGAAGCGTTAGGCAAATCTGAACTGAAAGCACACGGAAAGGCTGCAGCACATAAGTCAGTATGACTGATCATAGAAAAACTAAACAGTGTGACAAGAGCAATGAAGTACCTTCTAAATATCCTTCTGGTTACTTGACTTGCAATTCATAATTATAAATTTGAAAATAATAAATTTACTTCAACTGCTGCAATCTAGTTACTACGACAGACTTCATAATAGGGCCCATCCCTTCTGTTTTTCATGTAGCGTTTTAGTCACACTATTTTCATTCAATCTTGGATCTGTTTAACAGCGTAGAGCTGGATAAATTACAAGTTTAGATTTTATAAAGCTAATATTGAAATTATGTAATGCTGACACGCAAGGAATGTAAAATTAGCACTGTGCAGCCAGCCAAAGATGTAAATACTTGCTGGCATACATCAGTAGTAGGCTGGCCCATATGGGTGAGCTTCATATGTGATATTTTGTTCTACTTAATTTATATGTACTGAGTAGTATTGCATCATACAATTTTTGTCACTCAGTTGTTAGACACTGTAAACCCATGGAAAGCCTGATGATTTGTGTGTCACAACTTTTGAGGACAAGTCTAATGTAAATTAAAATCTGTTTGCTTATTTATATTAACGCTGTTGGCAGCATTTAAGCGTCTTAAAATAACTATATATCTATTTTGGTCCTAAAACTTATGAATTATCCATCTTGATTATGTTGCAACAGATTTTATTCATAGATTGAATTACTCATGCTATGATTAATCCACTTTTTTACTGTAATTCTAATTCATTTTAGAAATATAATGCAGTTTGTAGGGAAATTATTCATAGACGTATAATTGAAATTCACAGGAGTTACTAAATTTCCAGCTGCTAAAATTCTTATTTTGACTAAGATTTAGATGTCAAAACTTTCTGATAAGACACCAACATAAAGTTGCTTTTTTATTTTTGCTAAAAGTGTAATCACATGTGCAGATAAACCAGCTTCAAGACGTTTAATTTTTGGCATTTCAGCAAATTGATTTTTCAATTCTTTTGAAGGGATAATTGACCTCAGAGCCAGTGTTTAATTTTGAAAGATAATAATTAGCTCAGCCTCGTCACAGTCAGGAAAGGAGCTAAAAAGAGAAAGAACCAGGCCTTTGCTTTTCCAACTAGTGTCAGCTGAAGTTAAATATGAATGGTGGTGTTGACTTCAGTTTCCTGCTTACCTTTTGTTCACTGTTTAAAGTGATCAAGTTTGTATTCACATTGAATTCTAGCAATATCTTTCTTTTACATGCTTAGTCCTGTGCAGAAGAGCAAGCTGCCAAAGTTCTGCAAATTCCCAATAAAAGGAGAAAGTGACACTTGAGCCAGGTAGTTCTTCACACCATCCTATAAAGTACGTTGTCAAAATCTTGTTTATTTTAGCGCAGAAGGACTGGGATGGCTGGAGTTGTGAGCTGGCTGTAGTGACCAGGTAGTTGAGCTCAAGGGCAGCACTCCCCACTATGGGAGACACAAAAGCCCTTATGAGAGAACAAGCAGGTGAGGAGTTGGAACACAACTTGTGGCAGGGAGGTTGGGCAGAGCAAGGGTGGGAGTGACAGCAAGCAGTAGGCTGACAGTAAAAGCTGTGCTTGGAATAGCCCTGTAACACACTTGGAATCAGTGTCAAATATTGGCTATTTGCTCTATTGGCTTGGATTTCCTTACTGATAGAATAATTAATGATGTCTCCCCTGCTCTCCAGCAGCTGTGTAGGCTGCAGAATCTATTGATTAGTCAGAAGGTGCAGACTGTTGGAGTGATTTGACCTCCTCATAGATGTGTCTCTGGCATTTTATTCAGAAGTAATTGCAGTTTTTTTCCTCCCAGTGGCAGTTGGTGGTTTTGTTGTATTGCTTTCTCTTGTCTTTGTTCCTTTTGTTTGTTTATCTTATGTTTTTAATCTCCATACACAAAAGGGGTGGAAATAATGGGTGAGGTTGGTGAGGACTGTTCAGCTGAAGAGCTCTTGCCCATTTCCTGGAAGTCTTGATCGGTACGCAGTGAGGTCATGAATATAAGCTGCTACACATCAACTTTAGTTCAGATAAATCTTTTCTTCCTTCACGTTTGACACCTGGCTCTTGTGCCATGGGCAATTATGTTATAAGCTGGCTCCAAGAAGCATCCAGGAACTGAACTAAGTTACAATAACATAACTCCTTTTCTGTGAGGGACTTCTCCAACGGTTTTACACCTAGACCACGCTCTGTAGCAGCAAGCGGCTCTTTTTCTGCCTTTCTTAAGAGTCTGCTTCCTTTGGTCAAGGAACTTGAACTCTTACTTAAAGAGTATTTTGCCTTAAATGTTTCTGCATTGTTTGAGATGGGACAATCTGTCCTCTGCTCTCTGACTCCATATCAAACAAGTGGAGTAAACGTTCAACCTTGTCCAAGTCTCCTGGCTGATCTACTTCCTTAATAGACAACTTCCACTGAGAGTTATTTCTCAAGGTGATGTATCATCTCTTTTATTCTTTTCTGGTTATTTTCTCTTGAATTTCAAGTTGGTGTACTCTGCGTCAGTGGAACGCTCTTGTAAGCTAGTGCACAATGCAAGTAAATTGCCTTGAATTTTCAATTCTGTACTCCTGAGTATGACTGCTGATCTCCCGCATGCATTACAAATTTGTTTTACAGATTTAAGTTCTGGTTTCAATGAAGCACTTTAAAATGGTTTGCTAAATAGCAGTTGACCGTATTCAAGTGGCTTTTCAATGGGTTTTAATCCATTTTAATGTGATCAGAATAAGCTATATTTAGGATAAAGGAGTGTTTCAGCTCAGCAATCCCAAAATTATGTGAATGGTATATACGGAATGGGGGTGTGGGGGGTGTGTGTGTGTGTGTGTGTGTGTGTGTGTGTGTGTATATATATATATATATATAAAAACTTCCTGAAGAGCTAGTCTGGTACCAGTATTATCCATTGGTAAATTACCACTTTCTGTGTTCAAATGGTTAACCTAGTCCTCTCTTGGAAGGGCAGGAGCCGTAGTGTTATTTGCAGAGTATCTTCAGCACACTTAAGCAGTAAAGCTGCTATATAAAGGACTGAGAGACTTGCTTTTCTGTTACACGCATGGTCGGTCCAGCCCTGTCCCTGACCATGCAGTAAACTCGGTATTTGTTGACCTAACAGACTTACTTCTACGTGATGTAAATTCACTCAGTGTATTCCCAGTGAGACTGTGATTGCTCGTACTCCCCACAGAGAGGTAAAGAAGGTAGAATGGTTCAACCAGTCAAAAAGTCTGTTCACCAGCAATATAAATGTGATTTCTAGATTACTTCATCGAATTGCCATCTGTAAGCAGAAAAAACATAGTTCCTTATCGTACTGGATCCGGCTGAGTCAAACCACAACATTTATAAATACAGTTTTTATAAATACAACCAATTATTGTTATTTGATTTCAACATCTCTTTGGGCACTGCTTTCTTGCCTCCTTCAACATCAGTGTTTTAATTCCTGCTCTTCACTTCCCTCTCCACAGCCTCTATGTATAGTTAATTATTATCTCTTGTCCTTAGTCTCCTGCTGACCAGTGTAAGAAAATCCATGCTGGTGATGAGGTAATCCAGGTCAACCATCAAACTGTGGTAAGTATTTCGGAAATTCTGTTCTGCAGGCTTTGCCTATTCCCACTGCTAAAAAGGGTTCTTAGAACATAACTGCCAAACTAGATTATTATTTATGGCTTTTAAAATATCATAACCACTGCTTATGCTTAATAAAAAAAAAGGTACAAGTTGAGTCAGTAACCAGCCCAGAAGGATTAAGCCAAATTTGCATTTTGCACAGCTGCTGTGCAACATCATACTCGTTATATAAGGAGATCCCAGAATATTTCATTGAAGTCTTTAGACTTCTCATTATGGATATGCCAGCTAGTTTAACTTTTTTCCTTAAACATGATTTTGCATTCTGTATAATATGGGATTCAGATTAAAACACAGAAGTGCTGTAACAGCCATATATTCTGAACCTATTTGGGGAAAAAAGCATAGATGACTAGTGTTGATAGAAATCTGTCAGATTTTGCTTTCATGCATTCTTGCAAGCAGATTTATTTTTGAGCAGATGAGCAGTTTTATGAAGTTAGTGAAACTGTTAATCTCTTTAAAATCACATAAGTATGTGTATGCAGAAGTGTATGCTGAGCCTAAGGTATTGCAGTACACGATTTGTGTACGTTTGAACGTGCCTACCATTGCATTCCTTTCATAGCTGTATTTATACAAACCTACATTTTGTTTTATGTGGAAATGCGGGAATAATATGTTTCTGCAGCGTTGATAGAACTGTATCCTGACTTAAAACACACATGACTTCACTGAAGAATTAATAATTTATTTATTTATTAGATTATATTATTTGCAATTGAGCTCTAAAAGCCTATCAGAGTGCCTACCTAAAAGACTATCAGAGCCTCGTTCAAAGTTGAATGATTATATTTTTCTTCCTGTTTTCTGATGACACAAGCTACTGCCTTATAACTGATGTTAGTTCCAGTGTTGATGATTACTGAAAAAGGGCAGTCAGGTTTTATCCCAGTACTATCTTAAGTCATAGGCACTGTCCCTTTTAAAAAAAAAAAAAATAAAAAAAATTGTATGTTGCAGAAGAATGGAAGCAGTATTGCTGGAACTGCAGGTGAAAAGAACACTTGTATTTATTACTTGTTAGGCATGAGGAGCATCGACAATGACAATGATAACTTCCTGAAGTGCTTATAATTTACCCATGCAACTTTGTCTTGCTGAACCCCACCTCCAAACACAGCAGCAGCAAAGTTAAGAAATCTCTTTTCATCTGTCATTTGTGCGAGGTGGTGTGCTGGGTTTGTGTGTGTGGTGGGGTTTTGGTAGTGGGGAAGGGGTCTACAGCAGTGGCCCCTGTGAGAAGCTGCTCAAAGCTCCCCTTGTCTCCAAGTTGGACCCACCTCTGCACCCAGGTCGAGCCAATTAGTGACAGTGGCCACACCTCTCTGATAACGTATTTTAGAAGGTTGTGAGGAGGAGCTGTGAAGGAGAGACATCTGCAAACACAGAGGTCAGAGGAAGAAAGGAGAAGGAAGGGGAGGAGGTGTGCTGGTACAGAGACCCCCTGCAGCCCGTGGTGAGAGGGCAGGCTGTGCCCTGCAGCCCACGGAGGTCACTGGTAGAGCAGATGACACCTGCAGCCCGTGGAGGATGCCACACCAGAGCAGGGGGCTGCACCTGAAGAAAGCCAGGACTTTATGGGAAGAAGCCCCCGCTGTTGTTGTTTGGCACTGGGAGGATTGCAACACAGGGAGGGACCCACACCAGAGCAGCGCGGGAAGGGCTGGAGCAGGGGGAGAATATGAGGAGTTCCGTCCCACTGCCCCCAGGAGGAAGGAGCCAGTGGACCAACTGTAACCCCCATTCCCTGCCCCCTCACCGCTGAGGCCGAAGAGGGAGAGAAATCAGGAGCAAAGCTGAGCCCAGGAATAAGGCGGGAGTGGGGGGAGGTGTTTTTAAGATGTGATAATGCTTCTCACTCTCTTATGATGTCTGTTAAGTGTTGCTAGTGTTTGAGGTAAATCGATGTTCTTTATCTTCCCCTAATGAGTCTGTCTTTGCCCATGACCATAACGGGTGTATCATCCCTCTCTGTCCTCATCTCAATTCTGGAGCGTTTTGCTTTATTTTCTCCTCCCCATTCCTGAGGGGAAGGGGTGAGCAAGCAGCTGCCTGGTGCTCATTTTCCCTCTGGGTTCAAACCACGACACGTGAAAATATGACTAGTAAAATCCTATGATTAGAGAGCAAATATTTTCCCTTGCAAAGAAATATAACTTATTAATTCACAATTTAAACATTAATGCAACATGCAGCTCTTACCTATATTAGAGAGGTTCTATGAGTTGTCATAGTTACAAGTTGAAATATGCTTTAGACTGGCTTTCTCCATCAAACATACTTTTCAAGTGACAGACCTGGTTTAATCTTTACTCCCATAGGTGAAATCCCCTCATTCAATTCCTAATTGGCTTTCTGGATAACATCTCTTTCCATGTGTGTTATTGCAACAGGCCCAAGGTTTGTGATACTTGTAATCCTTTTCCATTTAAGGGCAGTACCAACAGCTGAGTCAAGCGGCATAAAATACCTTTTTCTAAAAAAAAAAAATAATCCACTATTAATTATTCATTCTGAAGTTCATAGCAAGCTAAGACAAGCAATAAATGGCAAGCTGTTCCCTTTGGATATTTGTTCTTCCTTTGAAATGTCTGGGAAAGTCTCATTCTGTCTTCACTGTGACTTTGGAAATTCAGACAGAAATATGGAGTGTTCACTTGTTTCAGAGGTATATGTCCAACCCTCTTCCTGTCATGGACTGGAAGTTTTAATGTTTTACGTATCCCTTTGATCTTTAAGTGTGCCCTCTAAGCCACTTCTGGTACATCTTGCTGCAAACGACACTTAGCTCTGTTCCTCCTTCACCCAAATTATCACAAGTTGTGATGATCAATATCATTACCATCACTTCCATTAGTGGACTAGAATAACTCAAAGGCAACAGCTCATTAAATTTCCATGTAGTCAATATTTTAATACGAGCAAGACCATCTCATAAAATGAGGTGTAACCCATTAGAAATTAATGTCTAGGGGGGCAGCTGAGTAACCTTAACCTTACAAAAGAAAGGCTTGTGTATTTCTGGTGGTCTTACAGGTTTTTCAGAGCTGTAAACAGTTCTGCTCACCCTGCACACAAACCCAACCCTTCCTCATATACCAACCTTGGACCCCACAATTTAGCAAAAGCAAGTGCTAGTAGATGTAAAGCTGTAAAAGAGAAAAATACAAAGCAGTTTGAAATTATACCTAGCCAAAGCATGCTTGTTCAGCTGCTTTGTACTTCTCTCACAGTGTTCTCCAGCTGGTTTTCTTGCCTGGTAGTTGGTAGTGCCATTTCTAACTTTAGTTTGATTTCTGGACTGGAGATTAAATGTTTGCTTGCTTGCCTTCTTCCATTCAATATTTTATTCACTTTAAGTTAAATGTCACATCTTCATTCCTTCTGAAATGAAATTGCAGCAGAAGTTTGCATTGATTTATAACCAGTTATGATGGTTTGCTTTTTCACTTTACCTTGTTCTGGAGCTGAAAGTACTGTAGTGTTTCTTTATTTCTCTAATGTATCATTCGGTTCAGTCCATATGAAGCATTTAGCACTGCTCTGTGAAGAGGCAAATTATTGCGTTTAGTATCCTAAATACTTCCTGGGTTGCTACAGAATTTTCAAGATAGATAGTTAAAATAGTATTTACAATATATGTATCCAGCGAAATATGCAGTCTACAGTTGCTTTTCCGTAGAGACTCTATGAAAGCATTAAAAGCCTAGGTAATAAAATTATAGGTGTTCATGTTATTTCTTATTCCTACTTTTACCTGTTCATTGGTAAGGGAGTCTCCATGCTTTCATAAAAAGCATGTTAAGTTATACAGTGTAAAAACGCAGAAATATACTTTCCTCAGATATTTGTATTCTTCAGCGATTCTGCATCCAACAGATTTTATCTTTGTTGTCTTAACAAAGGCATTTTCTTAAGATCAAAGTTTCTGAAGCATTGTGGTAGTTTATCAAATATAAATCCAGTTCAACACAATGTCTTTTGAAAGAACCTGTTCTGAACATGATTAGATAGAGGAATTTTTTATTGCCACTAGTGAAAATACTCTCTTGATTAGAGAAAGTACGGATCTCTTTTAATAAATTCCAGTCCTGTAAGTGACTACTGGCATCATTTAATCTGAACTAGGCCAAAGTATTTTCTAGATAAATTCATAGTCATTTAATAAGATCATTTGAGTTTTAAAACTTTCATTGATGTTCCCACAACCTGCAATAAATTCTTCTGGTAGTTAATTATTCTCATTGCTGGAAAAAAAAAAAAAAGTCAATTTATTTGTAGTCTACGTTTGTCTGGCACAAGCTTCTAGTCCTTTGATCTTGATGTATTTTTATCCATCAGACTGGAAAGCAGGTTTCTCATTTAGGTATTTTCAGGATGCAGTCAAATTACCTTTTCACTTCTTTTTTCTGTAAGCTTCATAATTTGAGCACTTCCAGTTGTCATCCTAACGCACGACCCTCCTCAGCAACCTCTTTAAATTCCCAACTGTAATATTTTACATATTTAACACTGAGTTGCAGAGCTGTTTGGTGAAAGCATTCATTCATGGGTAGGGCAGTACTCCTGTGCTAAGAGTACAAACGAGACTACATTAATGTAGCTATTACCAACTAGCTCTTCACTCTTTTTAAAAGGCTTGTGTTGGTTTTTCATTCATACACAGGCAAAAATGAAACTAAGAGGACACATTTTTTCCTTAAGAAAACCCCACTGTTATTTCAATTTAAGTTTGACTCTTTCCATCAGGAAGTCTATTTTAAGAGAAGAGTTACTATCTCTTTTGAAACTGTGAGAGGAGTAAGTTTTAAAACAGGTTTAAGAAGATGTAGACTCGGAAATAGTTGTACTGTCCGTGCATTTGAGTGAAGTCAGCACAGATAATGGCATTTCTAATCCTGGAGGCACTTCTCTGGGGTCGTGTAGCAATAGCAGAG